ACTGATATGCCAAGGAATACCGCGCGTTTACCGAACTAATCAGTTTGACTTTCGCGGTATTTCCTTCGCAGATACTTCATGGCCCAGTCCTGGACAACTAACACAGATGACTGGTCAAGCATGTCTAGGATGTCAATTCTGGACGAATCTTGGTTGATAGAGTGCAGTATATGAGCCTTCCAGGCAGGGATGTTTGTCTTCGCTTGCCTGACGCTGAATGATAGCTCCTCGTAGACTCCGGGTAACATGTTGCCTTTCTGGGCGATAAGCGCTACATCTATCTCGCTGAGAGTTGATACCACTTGATCAAAACCATCGCAGAAATCCTTGTGTTCATGCTCGCATTGAACCTGGAAGGCAGGCTCTTTTGGGTCGTTCAGAGCAAATAATCTACAATGATCGGCCACGGTAGAGCTTTGAGACACATGCATCTATACCAAAAATATAATATTACAGATATGACTGTTATACTTACAATGACTTAGAGAGAGCTTTAAAGAGTCATTTTTTTTTCAGCTTGTTTCTATTAAACGAGCCTATATGGTCTTAACCCTCGGACGAACAGGAGAGGGAGGAGTGGGAGGTAGTTGATACAAAACTGATAAAAAACAATCACATTCTGTAATTCTGCGTAAGAAACCTTACCCTTACGCGCTAGCGCCATCTACCTTTGTGGCCGACACATTTCCGCCAAAAGCCGACGCAATAAGCAGCGCTTGAAAAGTTTCTGGCGCCCATTCCAAAGAAAACTAATATGAAATGAAGATTTAGGCCAAGAATGTGAAGGGATGGTATTTTACCTACCTTGTAGTCACTTTTGAGGTATCGCTTTCCGTCTCGCAGGCGAGTCTACAGGTTCTTGGTCCATCTGATGCCTAGTCCAACGTCCCCAAGTCTTTCTTCAATGTCAATCAGGTCTTCAAATGCCTGCGCACCTGCTGAGCTTATGTAGTCTAGGCCTTGAAGTGATTTTCGAGTAGAGGCAGGACAGACAGCTAGAATACGCAAAAGAGTACTGCGGCTAAGAGGCTTAAAACCAGACTCGTCGCAGTTGCCAGGTACTGTTTTACCACCCTTTCAGGGATCATCATTCTGATAACGTTTGGGATCTTAATGGTCTCTTTGTTGCTAATTGTTATGGACCTTTCTCCGAATGGCAGATCTTGTACAATTTGCGAGCTTGTTATGAACGCGATAAAATGTTCTATCTGTGAGAAGGTAACGTCTGTCCTAGGTGCTCTTACTGACTGTACTGGAGCTCTCCTTCCATAGGTCAAACAGCGGCGTTTGGCTTCTGTGAAGCGATATTTGGTCAGACCAGGGATAAACTTGAGGAGTGTTTTGTAACGCACCTTATCTGCCATGATGGAAAGTATCTGGCGGCGCGTCTCCCAGCGACTAGCAGCTTGGTAACATTCGGCAAGTGCCTCCATTAGCGTCACGTCCATGTTGTCCTCATCTGAATCTTCCTCATCAGAGAGCTGGCGGCGCAGCGCGTCTGAAGAACACAGTGCGCGGAACAAGGGGCCTGTTTCATGTGGTGTCATATCTTGTATTAAAGCTGCCACACCTTGACTAGCTTTCCGTGTATAGTAGCGCTTTGTCCGTCCACTTGTCTTTTCCCACGAAGTTTGTAGCTGAGACCTAACGGGACTAACATCTCTGGAAACCAAATATGTATTCAAAGCATGTAGAGGCCTATTCTGAGAGACTTGTACATCGTCGAAACTGACGTCGCTGAATGTGTCTTCGCACGGGGGAAGGTAAAAACTCCCTCCTGGTGTAATGGGAGTGCTGTGCACTGGTGGGGAATCCTTGTCCTACAAACGAAAATAGTGTCTTAAAGTACATTCTCATCGGTGTTTCTGTAATATTACTATCTTGTTTCCAAAGGCTTTCCCTATTTTTAGGAGGGGAAAAAGTGGATAATATTAGTCCTAACGAAACGGATCCCTATGACATATTTTTATTGACAGTAATTAATTGCGTGGAGCAAACTTGACTCTCTCTTATAAAGAGCGACAAAGCATAATTAAACAAAAAGGCGCCTAATTAGTTAATTTAATAAATGCTTTAAGGGCCAGAATTATGCAAGTCATCAAAATGATCAAACTTACCAAGATAATTTTTCCGGTGCCCTCGCTAATGTCTGCGACGTTCAGAGTAGTTTTTTGCGCATCTTTCAATGTTTTTTCTTTAACATCAATAATCGGCCTGCAGTCACGGCATATACCTTTGCTACGGAATGAAACAAATAACCGGTCACTTTTGTTCGCAATGTTAGCAAGGTTTTTGTACTACGGTCTGGTACACTGATTACATCCGCCGGCTAATTAAAATACAGAGAAGTAAGCACAAAAGTGTACTTACCAGGGTCTACCGGAACAAAAACACCTGTTTGTTTAAAATAGCTTTGGACTCCGACTTGCTTATTCCACGGTCCGCGTTTCTCGTTTTTCCTCTCGAAGCATGCTTTGATAGCACGGGTGGTACTCGGCAT